TGTGTATATGTATATATATATATGTATATGTGTATATGTGTATATATATATATGTATATGTGTATATGTGTATATATATATGTATATGTGTATATGTATATGTGTATATGTATATGTGTATATGTATATGTGTATATGTATATATATATGTATATGTGTATGTATATATGTATATGTGTATGTATGTGTATATGTATATGTATATGTATATATGTATGTATATGTATATATATATGTATGTATATGTATATATGTATATGTATATGTATATATTTATATGTATATATGTGTATATGTATATATATAATATGTGTATATATAATATGTGTATATGTATGTATGTATATGTATATATGAAAGTAACTAAGGTATGGAGGTATACCTCTGCTAGTGTTGATTAAAGATGATAATAAATATTTGACAAAAACGTCCCATAGTATCTGTGAACTAATTATCCGTCATCAATGTTAATATTTCTGTTTTTCTTCCTTCCTTTCAGCTATTGTTGGTGTACTTTTCCCTGATTGCCAAGAAGCTGCTTTTGCTAATTTCCGTATGTGGCAGGCTGTTGGATTTAGTATAGCCTTTGCTTCCAGCATCCCTAACTCAGTTTGTGTTTATCATAAGTTGTACGGAATTGGTGGATGGCTTGTCTTGTCAATGATCGCATATTATCTAGTAGAAATCATTGTCCGTAATGAAAAATCAGGTTATATGAAAGTAGCAAAAACTGACACTGAGTCAAAAGAGGCTGGATAGACAGGTAGAAATTTTAGGCAGATGTGTCATTCCTATAGAGCAGCTGATATTAATATTAACCCAGTAATATTCGTAATGATTAAAGAGTAGAGCATCTTGCCTATGGTGATACCTTTATTAGAAGCATAGGTCTAGACACAAAATTTTGAAACTAATGTGTATTTAATATGCAATACAAATACTATACTATGAAAATTCTAAGAATGGAGTGATTTTCATGCTGAAAACAGAGAAGCTTGTATACTAATACTATATGTATAGATGTATAAAAATAATGTTTTATATACCGCATACATAGATTCTAGGCATCTGATTGGTTAAGAAGCAGGCAATAAAAGTACTATTAGCCTATGAGATAGTTCTTTTTTGCACTGCCACGCGATGTGCAATCTCTAGGCTGTGTTGCTATGTAATTTATGACATGCATGAACGGTAAATGTGACACGACCTCTCGACGCCGAGAGAGATTTTCTCTTTGATCGCCTAGGCCTAGCCTACTTGGTGTGTACATTTTCATTACTTTTAGGTCTCGTAGAATCTATATATGAGGTATATCAAACAAATATTCACTGCTCTAGATTTGGGGAATGGTGAAATCTAGAGCCCCTTGGTGATAGGCTACGGTCTCCACATCATCTCGGGGCAATAGATTTCACCATTCCCCGCATGAGCAGTCAATATTTGTAAATTATATATTTTGAGAAATTATTCTTATTTGGTGGCCTTGTTGAACTATGTTTTGTGTATATATGTACATATGAAAATGATTTGTTTTATATAACTTGCACAATTACTCTTGTGTAATGGTATTAGTGACATTATATTTTGTGTGTTTAATATATATAAAAAATATAGTGTGTATATGCGTGGGTATGTAGCAGAAATATGTACCAAAGAGTTATTTTTATTTAAAAAAAAAAAAATGAATCATTAGGGCGTGACTTAACAAAGTAAAGTAATATAAAAGAATAATATGCAAGTAGAAAAAATTGATATATTTTGAGCAATCATTGATGTGTAACCGTCTTTTAATTTAAATTTTGAGTTTACAATCATGCTAGTAAATATATTGATGTGAACAGTATGTATGTAGACACCTCCTTCTCAAACTTTTTTAGGTGGCGACTAACTGTCAGATTCTTTACCGATCCAAGGCATATATTGCATTTGTAAAGTAAAAATATTCTGTTGTATTGCAACAGTCAACCTCGGCTCAGTCGAATAAGTGGCTGTGATAGATTGTTTCGATTATTATCTACTCAGTCGATCATGTACGGAATGTTCCATTTTATAGTATGCAGTATATTTGCTATAGCACTCGCAATTTTAAGATGTAGAACAATGAAAAAATGTCGAATTTTCGACTTTCGCAATGGCGACTTTGGCGAAATTGAGGTAAATAATAATTGAAAATGAAGCTTGTACGTCCCCACTCCCTCGAAAAAGAATGGGACGAACTCAAAAAGAAAAGAAGCAACTCATCATTTTAAACACGATGTAATTTGCAGTAGGCCTATTTATTACTAGTACGTCGTGTTATTAATACGAGCTATTATATAGATGTTCCTGCCTAATTTTAATGATCTTATCAATCCCTGGAGACATTGGCGAGTGTAATCATGAGAGTAGTTTCTAGGTTTTGGGTTGACAACAAATTTCGAGCTTTCGTCTTCGTAGCTATGTCTGGATGTAGCTCTTGAATTGACTTCTTGGACGGCTATAAAAGTATATTCCACTATGTTTCGAAATGCGCTTTACCAAGTCTCTATTTGTTTTTTTTTTTTTTTTTTTTTTTTTAATGTTTCGAAGCAGTCTCGCAACCCTCGGAAATGTTTTGGCGACCCAAATTTTGGTCGCGAACCATAGTTTGAGAAGCAGAGGTAGACGACCCAGCATGCAGGCAATAGTCTACCTTCATCTTGAATATTCTGCACCACGAGACACCTTCAAATTGAAATTAAATTTAAAAATCGCATCTCTTCCATAACGCATTCCACATGTAAAATGTTTACGACGTTGGCGGATTTGAAGCGCCATGAGCATCGCAAGACAGATACCGGCATTATTAAGTGCTTATTTATTATTATTATTTTATTACATTGTGAAATTAAAGAACTGAAAACTTGAAATGCGCTCTTGGTATAGTCATAGATGAGGAAGAAAACTCTGAAAACGCCTCACCCAAACTTGGTTGGAAGATCTAAACGGACAACGGAGGATCTTTGGTTGAAAACCCAAATAAGGCTGGTGTTTTTCTTTTAAAACAATTGTCATTTAGTTTTCAGTAGTGAATGTATTTCTCAATACCAAGTTACTTTCATGTTTTGCAATAACCAACACTCTAATCTAAACGCATAGTGACGGATCCAGGAATTCGAAATAGAGGGGCCTCAATCAATGCCATTTGCGACGTCTTTTGCCGAAAGAGACTCATCTGTTTGGAGATCGCTCCCGACGTGTCGGACAGAGGGGTCCGAACCAAGACGACGACGAAGTCTCGGTCAACGACCCGGAATAAAAAAAAATCCCAGTTAGGGGTTCATGGGTGGAGTGTTTATGGTTTAGTGGCTTAGGCCTATTTTGTCCGAATGTGCTTTTAGACCACAATTGGGATTAGCAATCAAAATAGCGTTATTTGGATAGACAAATTAGGCCTATTTATCTCCAATTAAAGACCACTTTTGGGACCCTGGTTTTTATGGCTTTAGTAGCTTTGCCTTTAATTTGAGACCAAAGTGGTCTTTAATTGGAGGTCTTTAATACCAACCTGCCAAACCCTATCGCCGCAATTCTCGCTATCGAATTTACCCTATTCTGGGAAAATATTGTTCCCATTGTTTCTAAAAAACGCCTGACCCTGCTGATTTGTATTATCAGTTGTGTGTATTAAATGTTTATATATAGATAGATATAAAATAATAATCTGACTGCAATGTCCACATGCAATGAACGGTTATTAAATGTTTATACAATAATAATAATTTATTAGGAACTACACTTTTCAATCAGTGGCACACTTCTCAATCGAAGGTGCGTCCAAAACAAAATGTACAGTAAAGTTCACAAAAAAGACTTATGCTAAGAAAAAGACAATTCAAATTTTCCAAAGGGACATTAAGGAAAAGTAAAAAAAAATAAACTGTTCAGCCATATAAAATTAAAAGCAATCTTAAACTAAAAAAAAAACAAACTTAAGGCAAAATAAAGTGATGCAAACAATCACATGAACAATTATACAAACACCATACAAACGTACATGAAATACACATACAGTACATAAGTACATATATATCCATACACAACTGTATACCCAGTCACATGACTGTACCGTACTCACAATTATAAACATAAAGCCATACAGTAGGCCTACATACTGAACTCTATACTACACCACTTATCACACAAGAAGAATATATAAATAGTAAAATAATAATCTGACTGCAATGTCCACATGCAATGAACGGAGCAATAATACAAACAAATCTAGTTATTCAAACAGACAAATCCACCAACGTAGGATCCGCTTTCTGCACAACAATAATGGCTAGGTTATTTCCCTTCTGTACCCCAAGCTTTATTCTATTTTATGACTAGAGTGCAATTTCCAAATTCCAGTGTCATATGATAATGGTATAATAGGCATAGGGCCACGTGCCTGAATCACATTCTAGAGCTGGACGATGTATAGGCCTACATTTTCATGCTTAATTAAATTTTGGAGAATAAAAACATCCACGTCGACAGGGCGTAGTTTTGCTTTGATACACAGGGCATACCAGTGGAGTTAATTTAGGAGGTGCGTTGAACTAGGTCTGTCGTACAACTTCCTCAGGAAGTGAATAAATTCAGTCTGAATGGTCTCTGACATTTCGAGACACATTATTTCGTTACGCCACAGAAATGGTAAGCATAGCAAATTGCCCAGTGTTGAAAATAGCAGTGGTAGGCGACCCTGGTGTGGGGAAGACAACCCTGCTGCGGAAATTTATGAGGGAGGATTCTACGTTAATGAAGAGTAAATTCACTGACATCCAGGTGAAATATGTTGACAGAAATGGACATAAAGTGAAATTGGAAATAAGAGACACTGCAGGTAGGCCTTGTTCGAATTTATTTAAATATGCAATGACAAGACTATGATGATTATTGCTAATGTATTTATTTGGGGTTTTTTTTTCTTTAGACACACACATGCACCAGCATGCAAACAGCGAATAGGGCCTATATCACTGTCGTACTTGGTAGGAGACAACCCCTTTCACAAGACAAACATGCACACACGATATACTGTATGAGGTTTTAGAGAGTAGATTTTTTTTGCTCGTGAAAAACAGTAACACTGACACAAATAATTAATATTATTACTATTACAATTATTACTACTAGTCTATTAAGCTATTATTATTATTATTATTAATTATATCGTTATGCTATATAATACAGTATATAGCATAGGCCTATATAGCATATAATGTTATTATTGTTATCGTCATTTGTATTACTATCGTTATCTTAATGATAAATCATTATTAATAATAAAATAATAATAAATAAAATTATTATTAATATAAATAATAATAATTAATAATAATAGTATTGTATTTATATTATTATCATTATTAGTCGTGGCACATCACGCGTTTTTATCTTTTCGGGAGAGTACCCTTCAGTTATGAAACACCTGTCATAAATAGCGCCGGTAAATCCCACCATCCAATAATTGGGAAATACCTCTAAGTAGTTCCGCAACGAGTGCACGTATCCTAAAATATTTGTCACATGGTATAGACATTACTTTGGATACCAAAACAATTATGAGGTTATAAGCAGGCTTTAAGGTGTCGTTAATACAAGCCATATCAGCTTCTAAACGCACCCATTCTTTCAAATAACCAACATGGGTTTTTAAAGGGCAGATCGTGCACATCGGTGATCTGTTCCGTACATCACCACCTGTCTCTTATACACATCTAGATGTGTATAAGAGACAGCATACATACATACAATAGCTTGTTTAACAATTTTTTATTAATTTTTAGAAACACAGATCGATCGTATTTAGAGATAGTGGGTTTATATCTTATTATTTGTATCCTAGGCCTACAACCATAAACCCTCGTAACGAAATTTATAAAACATCAAATTATTTCTTATTTAAGAGGGCCCAGGGGCGAACTAAAGGATTAACACTGGTGCCAGAGGAGCACTCGCGTTTAGACACATGCAATGTTACATCAATACCATTTCTGAGAGCATTCAGACTTAATAATAATAATAATAATACGAATTTAGTAATGCGCCAATTATATAATATGTAGGCCTATGCAGTTTACCATTATTTTTTGTTCATTATTAATTATCTCACTTTTTCCTTTTATTCTGTTTAATATTATTGTTTTTAATATTATTATTGTTAGGCCTAACACTTCTGCAGGGTTACAACTTAAAGCATTTTCTTGTTTGTAGCCTATTTCTGTTATCTGATGCTATTGTATTTCTTTTGTTGACTACTGTACTCTATATGTATGATAATTGGACTAAAGTTATTCGAAATGAAAGAAAAAATATTGTGTTCAGTTAATTTATTTAATTTATATCGTAAATTTTATTTAAAAAAGTGTTAATAGTCCTACGAAGTTGCTTGTGTAAAAACCCACATTTTCTCCTAATCCTTAATTAAAAACAACTAATAAATATAGTAATAATAAATAATATAAATATTGAGTAAGCTCATCACAGATCGAAATGTGTTCATTTCATCATTTAGTTTCATTCATTTTGCCCATTTCGTTCATGATTTATTCGGTTTATTTCGTTCGTTTTATTTTTCAAGTTGGTTCATTTGGTTTATACTATAGGCCGCTATTAATTAAACAATGGATCAAAAGGCAATAATAATATTGTAAATCAAACTAATCGGAGGCTTACATATTGCATATAAGGAATGTAGGCCAATTTGAACAAAGCAAAACCATTTTGTCTGCTTAATTAATATTGTTGAGGCACCGAGTTCCAACGCTTTGGTCATTCCACAGAAGAATACTATGTATTGCAGTTTCATTTTCTTCTCTTTGAGTAGACAACGGAGTTGAGTAGCAATTCCTTGTATGACCGGTCGATTCGGGGCGACTATGGACGGACAACCACACATAATATGTTTAGTGGCTGCTGTAGGGGGAGGATGTTTATACTCAGCAGCAAGAAAACCAATAACTGAACAAAGAGTGTTAGCTCCTTCGGTCAATGGTCAACCATGTGTTGTTAAGGAATAGGAGTATAGCTTCAGTATTTAAAATATACCGATTTTTAAAAATAAAATTTGTGCCTAAAGGCAATACTCTACAGAAATAATAACAAAAAATGTATTATTATGATGGGCAAGTGATACTCAGTTTTTCTTGTCTGATAACTGTAACTGTTTTAGTTTTGTGTAAATTTGTGGGCATTGCTTATATTTTTTAGGACTTGAGAGACATAGAAGCTTAACTCGGTCGTATTATCAAGGAGTTACAAGCATCATCTTTATGTATGACGTCAACAACAGAGATTCCTTTGACAATCTCACAAAATGGTAATTGATCTCATTTTTAAAGCCGTATCCAGATTGTCAAGTTATATTTGACATATATTATATCATTTTAAGATAGTATAATACATACTCTAAATATCGAAATGCATGCCATCGTGGTAGGATTTAATATTTCGACGTCATCATTCCTGATGATGACATAATTAATGTCGATTGCATCACACCACGATGGCGTGCATTTCGATACTTGAAGTACGGTATGTATTATACTAACTTATCTGTGATTAATCCGTGGACCTTTTGGTTTTATATATTTTTTGTCAAAGAAAAGATATATATTCGAATTGCAGGATCTAGACATTTGAAATGGGGCTTTAGGACCAGCAGGTATTTTTATAGACGGATTATTCAAAACACCACCTTATAGTTATAGCCTGACTATTACTGGTACGATGACAAAATCGTATGGTTCAGGCACGTATACAAGGGGGAGCCGTGGAGGCTGCGGCTCCCCACTATGTAAAGAGTGTTAAAATTTTAAAGCTTGTTGTTGCTAGCCAATACAAATTCTTTCCTGGGATCACACAAAATGAATATTTAAATATAAATATGCATCATCAGTACACGTTATACATATAGTTTGGTGTTGATTTCAATGCTGTATAATTTCTAATTGACTCCTTCTAGGTTTGTGACCCGTGCTCTGATAGAAACCCACCATAAACTTCTATCAATCAAAGTCACCCGCTAACCTCATAGTAACCCGATGGAATATACGTTAGATATTTTTGAACTATACACGTACGACAATGCAAAAATTAAAATTATCGGGTTTATAACGGCTACCGCTCAAGGGGCGAATTCAACAAACTCAAATTCGTCTTAAATCCATGAATCCAAGGCCATGTATTTTGAGATACAGAAATGTGATATTGTATAGTTCAATTTGGTTATCCTTTTGCAAGCGTTTATAAAGTTGTGTTTGATAAATACTACTAGTAAAAGTAATAATAATGATGATGATGATGATGACGATGGTAATTATGATAACAGATAATAATAATAATAATAATAATAATAATAATATAATAATAATAATAATATCAAAAATTGTGCTAAAGGTGAAAAAGAAATTTGTGATTTGTTGATCATAATTATTATATAGTTAAAGCTTATATAGTTAGGCCTAAGTTGACCTGGATATTAATTAGATCCCTGATAAAAGATCATGAGACAATTGTTGGCATATAATGGTGATGTGATAATGATACTATACTATACTATTTATTATATAAAAGTGACATTTCCGGCCATCTACTATTTCCTCAAATTTTCTCACCTCTTAGCCCCAACCATGATTGGGCTGAAGTCGTTGTGATTTGAAGTATGTAAAGTACATGCTGTACATCAAAGACTATGTTTTTAAGCTTTATCTTCCGTGGTATATCACACATAATTTATTAATAAGATCTCTATGATTGTCGAAAATCCATGATAAAGGATTATGAAAAATGTTTTGGCGCTTTTATTTACTATATGGTGATAAGATGATGAATTTGACTAAAAGTGTAATTTCTGGCCAACTAGCTTTTTCCTTAGATTTTCGTACCTCAGCCCCAACCATGGTGGGTGTAGACTCACGAAATGTCTCCCCACTCCCACCTTTCAAAACAGATATGTGCCCTTCTTGGGTGACATTAAACTCCATCGAGTCGGCACCAGACTCAGAGTACGTCCATGTCTTAGTGACTGCTCAAGGTTAGGGGTGCATAAAGTTCAGGATGTGATTTGGTTTTTCATGCCCATTTTGTGTGATTATGACTATTTTTGATAAAGACTGTTTTGTTTTAATAGAAAAAATAATGTTATATTAAAATTTATGCCTGAGAGTGTAATTTCCGGCCATGTAGAGGTGCCCTAATCATAATTTTTTTTTCTTGGGTGGACCCTCAGTCTGTGAATGTCCCTCTCTGGGTCACATTTCTTTCGAATTCCTGGATCCGTCACTATTAGTTGTTATTATAATTATTGTTAGGCTTAATAGTATTCTTTATGATGCGTCTATTGCAATTTTCACTTTATTTTCTCAAAAAAGTCCTTAAACGTTAAGAGTGTGCTACAGTACCTCCATGGGGGCTTATCCCCCAGGACCCCACTGGAATCCCTGACGTCCCCCAGCCGTAGGAAGGGGAAGACCACATTCCAGCTCGGTACGTACCTCACACGGCTTCAAAATCCTGGCTATGTCCCTGGTATGGTTATGGTACCTCTAAATGGACGGAACTCTCGAATTATATAAAATATATAAAGGATGACTGGTTGAGTCCCTTGAATCTGACAGATCCTGAATTGTTAGGTCTGCTTTTTAGGCCTCGAGATTATTAGCGTTAAATTGAATAACATCTTTATAATTATTAGTAGACCTGTTCGGTTTATCAGTTTTTTTGCTTTAACTGCATTTGCACAATACTTTGAGATGGCATTTCTAATGGAAAATCCAGGTACACCAATTGGTTCCGAATTACAAGGTATCTGGTTCGAGTCTTAATTGCAACAAAACGTTAATCTCTTTGATCACAATATATTTTTTTATATCACCAGTAGATAAGTTACATTAGGCCTATATCTAATTTCTAATTAGACAATAAAGCATTACAATAGCATTGTAGTAATAACAAAATAATATTAATAATAATAATAATACTGATAATGGGGATGGGATGATAATAATAAAGATCATTGTTATCATCGTCATACATTATAATCATAATAATACATTATAATTTCACGTAATTGTTTTTCAGTCAAAATTATCTGGAGTATTCCGAGAGAATTACAAATTTACTGCCAATAATACGTTGTATAAATTATAAATAATACCATACAGAATAAACGTTATTTATTAACTTGTTTGTCTTATCCTCTGTAGGAATGATCAGTACACGCGGAACTGCAGAGACCCTGTAAACAGTCAGACTCTCATTGTCGGAAACAAGCGTCAACTGACGAATGACACACCTGCGGTGCCTGCTGATACCGCGAGGAACTTTGCGAATCACTTAGAAGCAGACTTTATCGAAGTCAGTACAAGCAATAGCTTTAATATCGACGAATGCTTTTTCAGACTTGTAGATAATTTCTTCGAAACGCACAGCAAAAGGCAACCGGGGCATAGTTCTTCAAGGGTCGACTTGAATAGTAGGCCTAAATATAAAAACGGATATTGCTGCTTATGACATTACACATAGAAAACGCCATCTCTCGGATTAATTTGGGGATGTGTTGTAAGGAAGTTCTTCAAAGATGATGATAAAAATGGTGGTGGCACTGATGGAGATGATCAGGATGTACAATAGGGAGTTTCGCAAGCTTACAAAAACGATAACGAATACGGTTACGTCATCAATTTCAAAGACAACCCTTCTTCTAGAGTAGCATATTTGTCACAATATAGGCGATTCATGCCTTTTGCATGAATTAAGTATCATATTCAGCTCGTACATAGTGTTAAGAATGTTTTGGGCACGAATGATGATAACGACAATGACGTATTCGTATTCGTAAGGTTGCAAAATCTCCCTATTGTGCATAATGATGATGAAGAAGATATGATCATCATCAGCTTGTTCCCGTATGGACCTTTTAGCTAAGCCTTGCCCCTTGGAGATTGTGCATAAGGTCCCACAACACAATACCTTAAATGTACGTACGCGCGTCTTCCTGGCCATGATTGGTCAGTTGTTAAGTTTGAATGAGACTCCTTAAAAGGATTACTAATACTGTAATTCTTTTAAGGAGTGTCATTCACCCCTTAAAAGGGACAGGAACTCGATCTTGTTTTGTATTCCTCATATAATTTGTGTCTGATAGGTTTCTCTCTAGTTGATTCCATATGGTGCAATGATATTTTCTTGTTTGAATTCTGTTCGTGAAATTCTCTAATTTAGTTAGACGAACTATGTATTCCTGGCCCTGATTGGTCTCTTGTTAAGTTTGATCTTGTTTTGTATTTCCTTATATAATTTGTGTCTTGGCTACTGATAGTTTTCTCTCTTGTTGATTCCATATGGTGCAACGATATTTTCTTGTTTGATGTAGCTAATACAAATTCTGTTTGTGGAATTCTCTAATCTAGTTAACGAACTATGTATTCAAAACCTTGTATTTTGCATTTTCATGATAGGCTGTTTGTTTTAATTATTTCTTAAAGTTTTTAAAATTGCATTTCCAATTTGTCTCCATTTCTGTATTCAGCATTTTTGCATTTAAAGCCATTATTAGTAATCATGATTATAATGATGATGATGATGATGATGATAATGATGATGATGATGATGATGACGATTGAGTCTGGTTGTTATATGGTAGCTATCGTGAAGATAAATTTGTTGACAGATGTGATGACATTTTTCTGTAGACCTTCGCATCACAATTTAATTTGTAACCTTTGGTATTTATTAAAAAAAGAACCAAACAAAATACAGTACATAAACATAATTCCATCCATCTAATCTACATTAAAATTATAAGGCTTTAATTATATTGTTACAAAAATATTATTTTCATTATAATTTAATTATCATAACTTTAATTAATATTCTTATAATCATCATTACTGTCAACAGTATTTTCCAATAAGAATATGATATTGTTGATCTTTCCTCTTGTTTCAATTCATTAAAAAAAGTCATATCTGACTATACCTTATACTAATGTCCTTCAGCAATCTATTAACTAAGAGCTAGCATTCTTTTCATCACTATACATGATTTGTCATGTTTTCAAGGAATTTTCTGTTTACTGGTAATGATTCTCTTCATAGGTGAGACATCAACTTATCATCTTACAATGCATTGATGCAATAATTTTGTAAAATTAATTTATGTTGATAAATACTATGTATAAAAATAGTTGAACAATTGACCTAAAAACCATTTATATCTGAAAATGCCACACAACATTAACACGATTAGTTTGTTTTATGATGAAGTTGTTTGCTTTTTCTTGTGTTTTGCAAACCATTCATCACTTTTATCTGCATCAATTGCCTAAAATAAAAAGAAGAGAAAAAGAGCAAATAAATAATTTGTTAAAAACAGTACTAAGTACATTAAAGATGTATTGTCCCTTGAAAATGACAAAAAAATTATTTTAAAATTAACTTGCTCCTTTTACAGTAACATACAACATATACACTTGAGTATAGAATTCACTGAATTTTAAAAATGTGTACCCTAAATTTTAAACTAGATATTTGTAATTAAAATGATAAACACTTCCAGTGACTGGATATGTTTTATCATCTTTCGCTGTAAAATTACGGGTAAACATTTTTTAAATACTAATTTTTATGTTCGTTGAAAATGGGTAAGTTAATTTCAAAAATTATTTTTTTGGTATTTTTCAAGACAATACATCTTTAATAACGAAATGAAGATAACAATTGATTATTGTCGTAATCATAAACATTGTCATCATCATTCTAATTATAATCCTCATCTGCATCATGATGAATATATCTACAGATAAACATCACCTACCTCCTGAATCAGTGCATCTGCCTTAGGGTCTGTTTGTGAGAGTGTTTGAAATGCTTCATCACCAACGAAACATATCTCATGCCCATCCTGAAGAAGAATATTTAATTTTTTAATAGTTTATTTGTATTGCATTTTACAGTTAATCTTGCCTAAGTCGATTTTGCCTAACTCGAATAATTTTATATTGAACATGCCAAATTGTTGTGTTTTCCATTAACTAACAATCTGTAAGTCAAATTTTATTTAAAATCAAACAATTTTTCAATGCCATTTTGAATTCGACTTAGGCAAATTCAACTGTATATGAATACTGTATTCTTTGCAAAAGTATTAACATTACTTATATTTACTGTTTTGAGGAAAACAAGAAAAATATAGCAATATGACCAACTTACCGGGTCCCCTAAAATGACGACCTCCACTGTAGCCTTTCCTGGTGTGTCTAAGCTCACCAATGGTGTGATAATTGTCTCATTTGCTTCCTTCATTTTCTTCTCCAGATCTGGAAGCTACACAATATGCATAACAATATAAATAGAGATAAATTTATAGTACTGTAATTACATTATATTATACTGCCAGTGAATATATATATATATATATATATGTTTATTGTTAATCACGTAGAGGTCTCTATGATATGTGCTCTAAAGTCAACCAT